TACCCGAGTCGAAAAATTGGGACTCATTTTATCCTCAAATGAACTATTTAGACTCATTTTTTCCTCATTTAGACGTTTTTAATCTCAGATACCTCAATAAGTTTTCATAAGACTCATCACATTGGATTCTAAAAAGTCTCATTTTATTCTCAATGTCTGCAATCCTATGGCAATAGTCCTCAATTTAACCTCAACAAGAAAAGAATGAGACTTTTTGAAGACAAAATGAGGTTTCCTAAATAATCTTTACTCCTCAAAAGTCTCATTTTGTCCTGATACGGGAAAACCGCGGATAAAATGAGACTTTTGAGTCTTGTAGTTTGAAATATCCCTAAAAATTCTATTGAGATCAAATGAGGACAAAATGAGTCCCAATTTTTTGACTCGGGCAGCGTTAACTCTTTTCTATACTCGTTGCAGATTAAGGTCAAAGGAATAGAGTATTTCTTGGGAAGCTCCTTAAATAAATACAGAAGTAAATGAGGATAAATTAATTAATTAATTAATTAAATTAATTAAATGTTATTAATAAATTAATTAATTGATTAATTAACAGTTCGCGAAATAAATAAATAGAAAAAATTGTGTCAACTTAATAGAAAATTTCTCGAGTAAAATCTTAACTATCGAATGTTTAAACTATCGAATATTTAAGACCAAAATTGATGCTGAGATTTAATAGAACAACCAGTCTCAACTACTTTAGGTAATGAATATATAATCCCAACGTTTCACCCATTAATTAGGTGGAGAAATCAGGGAGATGTGGAAGCCGAGAACCAACACTTACGACAGATATTACTTAGAACATCTCACGGTATTTTGGAAATGTTTAAGAAAACAAAACATAAAACTATAATGACACACGTACCTAGATTTTCCATGCTTTGTGTCAAAAGCGCTTCAAACGTGTGCAGACTGTAGCTTTCAGCGTCCATCCCCTTCGCCAGGGTATTTCGGAGATGCATTTCGTACTCCAATAGTAACCTGCTTGTTGGCGATCCGGGTGTTGGCATTTCGGTCGCATTCTGAAAACGAAATTGACGCTTAAAAAAGACCAAAAAAAAATAAATTAATATCATCGAGATCGATTTTCGTTCCCGGCAGACTTATACCCAATAGTAACCTGCTTGTTGGCGATCCGGGTGTTGGCATTTCGGTCGCATTCTGAAAACGAAATTGACGCTTAAAAAAATACAAAAAAAAATAAATTAATAACTTTTGAAATGCCCTACCTCCCTCCAATCATACGCCTTTAAACGTTAGTATCCCGCCCTTAAACAAGTACAAAATACACAAGTTCCAACAAAAGACAACTTCCGCACCATATCCCACAACTAAAACATGTAATGCACCCTTTCATTCCATTTACCTTTTTTCGTGGTGAAGCAGTGGGCGGAGACAGTTTAACCATATCTACCGAATGATGATTAGCAATGTAAAAGACGGGGTCACCGTTTTCGCACCGCCCCCCACCGACAACAAACGGTGTTGTCGCAAAGAATTCCTGTTTACTAGTCGTGGGTCGTGGAGGAGGAACGGGCGGTGATGATAAAACATCATCGGGAGAAAGCAGAAGATTTTGAGTTTCCTGTGATTTGTTACTGTTCGAATGAAAGAGACGTGAGGAAGGTGAAAGTGCACGAGCACCCGAACGCGAAGCAAACGTCCAGTGTTCGGGGCTTGAAATTGGAGAATTGGAGTTTCTGAAGTTCTCCAAACTCCTAACCGGTTTTAACTGCAAAAGCACACCAGTATGTGATGACAACAACACGCACAAATAAAAGCATAACACAATGAAATAAAGTTAGTTAAAAAACGAAAGCATAAATGAACAAGTTATACAAACAAATATTGTAGGAAACCATACCGATCAATACTTTTCTTCTATTTTTTTTTTAATCATTTATTTAATATTTTTGACCTATAAAGAAGAATATGTAGTGCAACACAAAAACCAAAATGAAAAAATTATAATGATAATATAAAACTTGATTTTCAATTTCACTTACCGATCTATCAACAGGAGGAGTATCTAGTCGAAGATGTAATAGGTCTTGCATTTCAGACATGAGGTCAATAGGGGCTATCTCTAGGCCGGGAGTGTCGCTACGTGACCTATCTGACGCATCAGGTGACGTTGCGTGTGAACCAGCACTCAGGGGACTATAAGGCCTTATAAAAACACCAAGAAATTAGTCAAAATAATGGACAAAAAGATATGTTACTAACCTATCGCTTGTACTGTTTCGAAAGGCTAAAGAGTCTTTTCTGTATGAGGTTGTAGGTACCGAGAAGCCGATAGTACGTCTTTTTCCTGTAGGAGAGTTGGGAGCAGATCTTGGCTTATCTCCGAGACTTTCCAAGCCATTATGGAACTGCGTAGGACTGGGATTATCTCGAAGAATCGCCCTCAGGCCCTTATAGGCAGTTTTAACGCCTTTGCCACCGTCTTTTACCTGTTAGAAAAATATCCAACAAATGAAATAACAATAAACAAAAAATAAAATTAAAAAAAAAAGGAAAATTACCGTTCTTACTGCGGATTTCATAGCTGGATTGGCCTGAAAGACGAGTCACAATAAGCTGAGAATCTCACACAAAAAACACAAAAAGAAATGTGCTAAGTTAATTACCTTGTCTTTTACGCTCTTGAAAAAAGCTGTGCCTTCCTTTTTCATCGTTGACGTCCATTCTTTGTACTGTTGCTTCAAATTCGAACTCGATTTTTCCGAATATCGACATGCTTCGATTTCGAATTCGTCAGAAAAACCAAGACCCGAATTTAACATTTGTAGGCGTTCTTCAATGAACTTAAAAATTCAATTAACAAAATGTACTTGATATTCAATTATTCGAAAGTTTAAAAATGAAATTGGTAAATTGTAAATACCTGTTGGAATATCTGTAAGTGAAGCATCTGTTTAAGGAAAGGTTGCAACGAAGGTGATCTCGTTTTTATAAAATTAGCTTCATTGAAGACTATTTCCTTGCTCGGCTGAATTTCTAAAGCGTCCCTGTAACCTCCGATTAACTGCACTAGGGCACGCAAAAAGGCCCTAGAAACACCGTCACCTAATAGCGCTGACCTGTTTTTAAGTTGTTTCTTTAACGAACTCACCTATAGAATAAGTATTTATAATCTCAATATTATAAGCAGGTTTCATAGAAACCTTTAAATTTTGAAGGACATTAAAAGTTAAGTAATATGATTTAATTGATTAAAACTTACCACTTCTTGTGCAGCATATTAACTACATTCGGCC